TAGTGCAAAATTTTTGGTGAAACATTGCAGAGTGTGGGATTCTAACCCACGCCACTGTAAAGTGAGGGGATCTTGAGTCCGCCGCCTTAACCACTCGGCCAACTCTGCTACGTTACATCTGTCACCCTTCAATGCAAAAAATTTATACATTAATTAACGCTAAGAGCAACACTAGAAACAGCAACTATAATAATATTGATGTTAGTACACAATTAAATATTAATTTTACTTTTTATTTGATTATAATTGACTTTAAAATGTTTTCATTAACAAACTGCTTAATGCAAATATTTCCTGATGAAGTAATTTGTTATGTACAATTTTTGTCAGTTGTAACGTTTAACATAAATATTTTATACGTATATTATGATGCTATTAACCACGTTATGGTTTTTTTTTTTAATACTGCAAATAAAAACAATGTTTAGTACTGTGTAATTTTTATTAGATTTGTCATATTTATCCCATTTTTTTATAAAGTAGTGAATAATTTAGCAAAAAAAAAAATTGTGGCGACTTCTCATTAATTTATTGTTATTCCTAAAATTGCTGAACATTTATTGACTGCAACAACTTAAATTGTTTCTATCTACAATAGTTAATTTTACATTAAAACCAAAAAACAAAGTTATTATGTACTCTCGGCGTAAAATAATCTATTTTTCTTCTAAAAAATCAAACGTTTAATCATTATATACGTTAAGCTAATTGCACATGAAACAGTAAGTTATTAAAAAATAAATTGTAATGTAGTAGGTATTGTATATCATTTAATTTTTTTATTTTCACTACAGAATTATTTTTTAATTTAAAATATAATAATAATACTTAAACACTATCAATTTTGTTAGACCGTTTTCAAATGTACTATAAAAAACAAACTTACGCATATATAACTAAAGTTAAACATTGTTGCATAGTAAAAAAAAAATTACAAGGAGGTTTCTTTATTAAAATATGTTTTTGAAACAATAAAAAAATATTTCATAACATACGAAAACAAGCGATACTAAAGATTGTTAGTTTTTCTCTATGTCATAAAAAAGAAAATAAAACAAAAACAGTACCAAACGTTCTTTGTCAGTAGTTTCATTTTTTGTTTGCGCTTTTATTTATTTGTGT